TAAAATTGACATAAGATAGATAAGTTTTGCTCTGAAGGTTATTATCTCAAGACAGGAAGTCAAAAACAAAATGAAAAGGACCAAGAAATATCTACCTAGGGCTTAACTAAATGTAACAATTGTATTTCTCATTATAAATTGATTCATTTAGCATTGTAGTATATATATATATATCAATCTCTTGAGGATTTGATTGGCGTGTCACTTCCCCAGAGCATGATTATTTCTCGGTACGCTGACAAATTCAAGTGTTTTAGACCTGAAAAGGTAAAGATTAATTCGGTGTCATTTGGCGTGGCCCCATCTGGCTGATCAGCCATTCCCTCTGTGTGACATTTCATTTTGTCTTTTACTCTCGACATCATAATTAACTGTCATAATGGGGCAGAGATTGTATTTTCCAAACACAGCTACAACAGTATCTCACTTTCCATACGGTATTCTTACAATGTGACTTTGATATTCCTTCCATCGAGAAGTGGGGTTTATGTTTCTTCCAGTTGAATGTGATCAGACTTGTGATGATAGCACAAGTGATATTACATGACTTGCAAGGCTAAGTCACACAAGGCAATACAGGTTCTTCCTGGTTGACGTAGGACACTCACTATTGGAAGCAGCTGCCACGCAGGGAGGAAGCCCAAGTAGCCCGCGGAAAGGAACCGCGGTCCCCAGCCCAAAGCACCGACTTGCCACCTACGAATTATCTACTAAGTAGATCCTCCAGCCCCCAGATGAGCCACCTAGCTGACCCTGCATGCAGCAGAGATGAGCTATCCCCATCCAGTCATGTCCAAATTACAGATTTGTGCACAAATAAACGATTTCTGTCATTTTAAGCTAGCATGTTTTGTGGTGATTTTCTACGTATCAGTAGATAACCAGAATACATATTAAATTGTTGGGTTGAGTTGGCTTTTCTGTTAACATGGAAGAAAAAGAAGCGTTTTACTTAATAAATTGGAAATCCTACCGCGATTACGTTACCTTCACATTGCCATGTCTAGTGAGCTGTAGATAATCTCTGGAACCAGGCGCTGACGTGATATATCCCAGAAATATCACTGG